ATTTCGATTAATTGAGCAGCCTCATGTCATGTTTTAAGTCCATCTTGTAGGTTGAGTAGGAACAGTTCGTTGAGGTTTCGGTACAACTCTTTGGACCTGTAAACAGAACACGCTATAACTTCTAGTCCTCTAAACACCCTCGGCATGCGAGCTGTCCATCTTCTATGTGAAACCAGAGATGATGACAACCCCGAGGTCATGCCCGGTCGGTCGGGTTGTCTCCATGGCAGCACAGGGATCAAAGGTCAGGAGCGAGAGGTCGGAGAATCAGGAGGGGAAGCTTTTGGTTTGGGTTCAACCTGCTTGTAATCGGTGCCTTTGAAAATGATTTTCTGTGTGAAAAGTTAAGATTGTTTCTTTGTAACATCAGCGTGGCTTTATTACAGGACTTTAAATCTGAGCCTTAATGCATTCAAACATGTACTGTAACTGTATTCTTGTCAAGGTGTAAAAACTCTATAAATTAAAGTTTTTAGACCGTCCGTTTGTGCTGAAACTATTTGTTTGGTCATTTGACAGAATATTAATCTGTTCATTGTACGAACATCTTTGGATTTTGGACAGAACAAGCCATCTGCAAATACTTTTACCCTCCTAAGACATATTCATGCACGCTTGCAGCAGCATATTGGACTCAGTTTGGGTTATTAAGGCCTCCAGTAATCAAACTAGAGACTTTCCTTGTCCTCAGCTAAAAGGTCCCAGCTTTTTATTTAATACCTAGTGACAGTTTATTTGGTCTCCATTATGCCTAAAATGTTTCAGGACATTTGAGACCGAGGCAAACCACCAGTAATGCAGTCGACTCTTTAAAATCCCCAAACGTCCAAGTTTCTCAAATTCCTGAAACCTTAACTTTCGAAAAAAATAAAATAAATAAAATTTGGAAAGTAGCTGCAGAGCATTTGGAGGGATTTGTGGTTTCTGCCATTAAGCCTCATCTGTTTCATGTGTCACAGTACTGGGTTGTTTGGCGCTGTGGTTCTCAACGTTTTTGGCGTCAAGGAGCCCCCAAATCGAAACACATCAGCCCACGGACCTGTGTTTGATAAGATGTAGTAACTGTCTACACTGTAGATAGAAAATACTCATTATTATACATTCTCTCATTGGGCTGATCTTCAGTCAGCGACAAAATACTGAAATTAAAATATTCAGCCTTTCTCTGGGGACCCTAAGGACCGCAGGTTGAGAGCCACTGGATTAGAGAATAAATGGAGCTCAGAGGTATTTCAGCGGCGTCGGTGTCTAAAGTTGCAGCGTACTGTATATATATATATCATGTAAAAACACACACACTGCTCAGGTCCTGTCAGAGCAGACGGTGAGAATAGCGAGCAGCTGCAAATGGTGCTGCGGTCATGTGGCATGCATGGTGTGTGTGTGCAGAAGGTTGTAAACACCCTCTTACCCCTCTTTAGTACCACCTCGCCTGCCTGACGCCCGTTTCTGTGGTACGGAGTTGCTGCGTCTTCTGTCCCACACAGCCCTTAAGTCTGTGGATTCACCTACAGAACAAAGCGGTGAGTTAAATGTGGGTGTTGGTGCAGTTTTGGCTGTAAAATCCAGCCTGTAGTTTGCGTGTTTTAGACTGCGAGCAACTGATTCCTCAGAACAGGTGTGTATGTGAGTGTGAGAGCGTTGTGGAAGAGATAGTGTGTGTTTGTTTTCAGGGCCATTTGCCTTTCAGGTGTTTGGCCTACAAAGTGTAACCACTGTTTTAATGTACTGTATCTGTGTGTGTGTGTGTGTGTGTGTGTGGTTAATGCACAGGTGCACTGGTTGGGTGGTCTGCACTGATGTGACGCCCCTCTTACACACTCACACACACACACACACACATCCTGTCGTGAACAGAGAGAGAAGTAAATGTTGATGGGCCTGAAAATAATATTTACATCACATAGTCATGCCTTGTTACTTGAGTGAATGTGCATGTGCAGTACTCGTGTACAGGGCTACAGCAGGCAACCGTCTTATCATTATCCATTAAGCTGTGTGATTGTTTTTTTTTTAAATAAAATGGATCAATCATTTAGACCATAAAATGGTCCATTCATGTAATTATGATTTTAAATAAAGGACACAGTGCTCAGACAGAATCGTCAGCCACACTTATTCAACAAGTGTGAGCCGGAGGGACATTTTTGAAAACAGAGCTGAATATATAGCGACAGGTTTGTGGTGATCGTAACCAGACGCGAAAACCTCAAATTCTTCTCTCATATGTCAACATGTGTGGTGGTAATTGTGGCACATTTTAATTATAGCTATAAGCTTATAGGATAGCCTTGTGTCACTGCTTTTTTTTTATGTGTGTGTGTGTGTTGCTACTGTGGCGTTTGAGCGTCCATCTGTAACATAATGAAATATTTGCTGTACGTATCAGTTGTCTGTGATGTCTATCTGTCTTCCTCGGGACACCTGCTGACAGGATGTACCCATTTGCCTCTTGCAGTTTGTTTTGATTGGTATTCAGACTGATGTGGTTCACGTCCAGCTCGCTCAAGGGTTTCGGTACGTGAACACCCAGTTGTTAAAGCTGTCTTCGTGAATTCAGCTTCCTTAATTTACAGTTAATGCGCAGACATATAATTAAAATGCAGAAATATCCCACGTTTTGTCCTCATTGTATCCATGGGGCTTGAGTTGTAGACTTGAGACTGTATTGTGGGACAATATTTAGATGCTTTGTTGTGGGAGAGTGTGTGAAACCATTATGTTTGTTATGTTTTGTTAGGGGAGGAAATTGTTTGTTGCCAGCTGTTTCCTTTCTAATATTTTTCAGCAACAACAAAAGACAGTACAGAAACACAAAGGAACAGATGGTATTATTACAAATTGTCGATTTTACAGAATATATTCAGTGCATGTGTCAAGAAGAACATGGTATTGATTAGGCCTGGGCAATAAAACAATAGCCATAACAATGACAACCCACAGGCAGTCAACAATGGAGAGGTGCTCAGCAACAATACCGTATGACAAAGCATTAACATTAAAAGCATTACCTGTGGCCGCTGATAAATAAAATGGTTAAATTCAACCTTTTTTTTCCACCTGGTCTCTACTAAAAATAGGTAATTAAACATTAGCTCCAGTCCTAGTATTGATTGGCTACACTTTAAATAACCTTAAGTGATCCACAATGTGTCAAGCAGTGATGTGAATTGATAAGGTTGACTGCAGCAGAGTCATCTCTGTGATAGCTCACATAAAATACTACTCTTTACATCAACCTGCCATATCTGAAAGTGAAAGTGTGAACACGTAAGTCATAAAATGAGGAGCTGATGAAACACGACAGATAGAAATTCAGTAATAAAGGCTGTTCAGCTGTTTAACCTTCATCAGGTCAGACTGATTACATAACTGAGCAGAATTTAGAAAAAGAAAAATGCAATAAAAATTGCTTTTGATGTCAGTCAAACTTGTGCGAAGGTCTAATGAGTGTGTAGAGATGTCGGAGAGTGTGTGCGGCACTGGTTGTGTTTAATGTGTGTCTATCTGAGAGTGTGTCCTCTGCTGTCCCCAAAGAGCCTTTGACATTATTGTCCCCACACTGAAAAGACTTTTGAAATTGCCTTTCTCTTCTCTCTGTGTCTCTCTGCTAGACGTACTTTATTGAGGCTCCTCTGTCCTGTGTGACCCCCTGACACAGAGAGGTATGACCACACACACACACACACACACACACACACACACACACACAGTATGGAGATGCAGAGGGACTGTGCTTTAAGTAAAAAATTCAAATGTGTTTATGTTAAGTTGGAAGAGACTGAGAGTGCATCTTCTGGTTCAGAGTGTGTGTATTCAGAGCAGTGTGTGTTGTTTGTGTGTTTGTTTCCGTAAAGCTCAGCAAATGTCAGCCATAATAAAACACCATGGTGCAACAGCAGTGTGCATCGCCACCCACACAAACACAGACAAGCAACACACATGCGGTCAGCTGTATATACCTCTCTACTCCCTCCGTCTCTGTACAGAATCAGTCATCAGTCGCACAAACTTTAGGGTTTGGAGTATGTGGGAGCTTTTTGCTTCCACTGGAAACATATATACATGTTTCACTGCTTATTATGATTCAGAAAAACAGGTCTTTGTTGTTCTTTATGTCATAATTATCACCTCAACATATAATCCAAGACGGAATCATTTTATAAGCAGTGTGGTAGTAAAGCTATGACTTTTCTGCCCACTCAAATAATGTAATGACGTTTGTATTTCAAGAGAGTGCAGTATTGTTCTGTCTGTCAGGTGGTCGGCCCTAAAATATCTCGTATCACATTGGTAATCCCTCAACCTTTCATCTATTGCCACCATCATGTCACTTTGTGCTAATTAGCAAGTTTTTGGATGCCAACAGGCTAAAATAAGATGGTGAGAATGATAAACCAGCATATTTGCACTGTATCATTGTGACCATGTGACTGTTAGCGTTTAACTAACAGTAGCTTTAAACTCTCAAATTGTAATTACAATGTCATACAAACAAAAAGAGGCCTGCAAATATATTTTTTACTTTTTTATAAATTGTCAGACTTTCTTACTTAATGTTTTTTTTTTTTCAGAATATCAAACATCGATGCTGTTGATTAGCTACGTTCAAATATGATGTATGTTGATAAGAGAAGATGCAACTGTAAGTCTACTTTTACAAAAAAACCTGTAAACCAAAAAATCTATTAGACGTTGGCTCTCAGCCGCTAATAGAAACTTTGAAAACATAATTTGTTGGACTTCTATTTGAGATGATAAGAAAAGTGTGAAGGATGTTTTACTTAGTGACCTAGAACTGCTTCAGTGTGATTTTGTATGTTTATCTTTTATCAAAAACAATATTTCACTTTATTGTTTTGAGTGAATTTTGGTCGGGTAGCTGCCGGTGAACCATTCATTTACAGACCTGGGTGATCCTGATTTGGTCATCACTGTCTAAAACATTTTTTGGATTCATTTCCTGTGACCAGCCTTTGTACTTCGACCCAGTGATTGGGAAAACGGCAGCCAAGCTGCTGCTGGCCCTCTGACATAGTTGGGGGTAATTGCGGGAAGGGTAATTATATCTAAGATGGTTTTAAGCGAGTTAAAAAAGGAAACAAACCTCACACACCAAATGTTCCTCCGTGTCAGCTATTCACAGACAGACGGACACAGACAGACAGACGGGGTGTAGTTGTAACTAAGGCCAGGCTGGAAATAACAGTTTACTCACCGTGGGAGTCCGGTGCAGTAACTGGTGAGACTTCTGGACACAGTCATAGCTCTTGTTCGGTTCATGGTAACATCACCATCCACAATCCAAACAGCTCTCCAGTGAAGTCATAATTAGCATCAATAAAACTTTTGAGCAACAAAGTTTTCATTGACTCACATACACCCACCTGTTCAGCTGCTTTATGGTTGGCTGGGCTTTAAACGAATAGTTCGGCATTTTGAAAAACAAGCTTATTCACGTTCTGGCTGAGGTTAGCTTAGGTTAGCATGAAGACTAAATGGGGAAAGAGCTCTGTCCAACAGTAACAAAATCTGCCTACCAGCTCCTCTAAAGCTCACTAATTAACACATTACATCTGGTTCATTTCATTTGTACAAAAAAACAAACCATAAAAACGGATCATTTAAGATTATTTATCTTTTCTGGCAGGAACTCCCTGGCAGCACGCCAATAACTTATTCCACAAACTGTTGCTGTAACACATAATAATCTATCTGCTTTATCCAAGGACATCTTGATACTTGAGGACAGAGTTGGCAGGAGGACAAATACTCAAAATGTTATACTTGATTCCCAACATCAGCAAGATGGGAGGGTCAGGATCGGGGAGTCCGTTGTTCTCCCTGTTGTGAGCGTGTCCCAGTTTACAGGTGCACTCACACACATACAAAGAGCCAGGATACCTGTACACACGGAAGAGATTCACATCAGAACAAGCTGGTTGTAGTCTTTAGTTGGACCTCGACCAACCAAGCCCAGCTTCCATTTCCAGTGCAGATCCAGAGCTGCAGTGCCAATAAATCTTTTCAAACTTTGGCATCAGTATTGTTTCTGTCATATTAAATATCGGAAGGGTATTTTCAGGCAACAAATGCAAAACATTTAATGGTGAAAGCTTCTTAAATGTGGGGATTTGCTGCTTTACTTAGTTTTAATGTGATCGCAAGCCGAATATGTTTCCAATTTGGACGAAACAAACCATTGTATGACATCACCAGAGGCTTTTGGGAATTTTACACTATTTCCTGACATTTCACAGACCAAGTGATTAGTGAAGAAAGTAATCTCAGGATTAATCAGTAAGGAAAACAGTTGCAGCCTAATTGTCAAGCCCCATTAAACAATATAACGAGGCGGACTCTCTCTTCTCTGTAGTGGCAGTGTGCAATTAAAACAACTGCTGAATATGTAAAATATCTGCTCTGTGCTGCAGATTCAGTCGTAGACAGCGTGCTTGTTCATCCAAATATCTGAATGTGTGTGCTAAGCTCCTGATGTAGACATGTTTGATAGTTTCATCCCCAGTTTATTTATTTTTTCAGTACAGAGATTCAAGATTTTGGACTGACAACGGTTGAATAGTGTCTTACTCAATGACACTTTAAACAAGTGGTAGGACTGTCGCTGTAAGTTGTCGACAGAGCACATTTGGATTAGAAGAAAGAAAGTTACCCTCGACTATCTGGTATCAACAGCCTCTGGGTGGGTGTGTGTGTGATGTGTGTGTTGTAAGGAATTAGCAGGTTGAAACTGTTGTATAAAGTATGTATGGGATGGTAGAGGAGAGAGTGGGTGTTTACTGGGGTGAGTGTGGAGAGAGAGAAGTGCTGAAGAAAAGAGGAGTCCTTCTTTTGTCTTGGGATGAAGCATGAAGGTCTCCTGGGAAGCTTTTCAAATCTCTCTGGAATGTGTGTGTGTTGTGTGTGTTGTGGGTGTGTGTGAGTGTGTGTGTGTGTTGGGGGTTGGTTTGTCACCACATTTATACAAGGAATGCAAATATTTGTGTATGTGTGTGTGTGTGTTTCAGTTTTGTGGCGTAGTGTAACTGTTACCATGGTGACTGACATCCTCTGGTGTTTTCTGTGTCACCTGACAGAAGTGGTTGACAGCTGTTCTTTCTTTCTTTCTTTCTTTCCAGCCCTCTCTCTCCCCCTCTCTCTTCTTCTCTGTACCCTTGTTAAGTTGTCTAAATGGCAGCCCTACAGATCAGATTTCATCAGCTGCTCTCATTAATGTGTTTATTTACCAAGCACTCCAGTCATCCTCTGGTGGCCCTGAATTTGACTCTGAGCCCGCCTTGAGCTTGTGTTTGCGGGTGGGTGTGTCGGTATGCATACAGTAGACCTGTGTGTAAAAATAAAGGTTACAGTTGGACAGTGCCTGCCTGGTTTCTGGTGTCATGTTTTCCGTCCATTTTCTTTAGTTTATATAATTGTAACAGCGTTTTAAAGTTTTAAGTATGTTTTTCAAATGTTGGACAAATCACGCCTGCCAGAAACATTTAAAGAATCGATTGCTGTTGGTCTTTGAAGTTGTTGTCGACCATATTTCCTGCAAAAGACCAAAACGGAAATGTGCTGAGTCAGCGGCAAACAATGCTCACACAAGCACAGTGTACATGGGAAAAAATGAGATGGTCACTGTGGGTGAAAATGAAGTTTAAGCTAATTCTGGTACAAATAGTAATCATTTAGTTACTATTTTACATGAACCATAAAATAAAACAATAGATAGCAACACTGATTTCAAATACACCAGCAGGTCTGATCTCTCTGGAGGTCAATTCAAATGTCCACGCAGCAAGAAACTGAAGAGACTGATCTCAGCAGCACTGAATCATTATTTATTTTAATGTCTTTACAGGCTGAAATCCCCTTACTGGAGGCTAGAAATGTTTGTGCTGAGTTTTCCTGCTGTTTTGTGTTTTGTTCAGGATGGTGATGGAGGAGGGGGGGCAGAGAGACAGAGGGAGAGGGACTCCAGCAACAGCAGGAGCAGAGGGGAGACAGATCTTCATGGAGCTTGGTGAGTCGATCTTTGACCCCCTAATATAAGCCCTGACATGTTTTTAGGAGTGTACCCAGGACAGATTGTCTTATCACACCTTTACCATTTATTTGATAGTTGTTCTGTGCTTTAAAATGAAAGAGCACACACATCTCTGAAATGTTGTTTTTTCACTTGGATTGTGTTCTTGTATCACTCCTTTAATAGCACTCTGAGGACAGGAAGTTAACTGAGCGGTCTGAGATTGATGAGATTGTTACAAGCCCAGAGATTTCTTCTCCATTACGTATGCATAGTGACCCAGCAGAGCTTATGAACTTCTTCTTTTTGTCACAGGGGAGCAGAACTTTGATGCCATTTGTCTCTCTACATATCGAACAGCCTGCAAGCTCCGATTCATACAGAAGAGATGCAACTGTAGGTCAACCCCGGTCTTCTTCAGCATACCAATATTAGTTATTAATGACGTGACAGTTAGAATTTTTGTCTGTTGCAGTTTTAATGACACTTCAAAGTGTTATTACAGAGATTCTTTTCATCAAAGATGTTCTATAAACGTGTATAAAAAATGAGATCAAAATGTCAACAATGTCCCTTTTAATTCAAGTTACTTTCTATTGCTGCTAGTGGAATTATTTCAAAAATACTGTCACTGTGAAAAGAGTGGTGTTTAAATAGTAGCTAAACGGGTCCAAATCATGACATTTTAGTCCAAAATATTTGAACTCTACATATTGTGCTATACACATTCATAGCAACCTCCCTCTGCTGGTTGAAACCCAGTTGAATTACACTATTGGCTGATTTTTCAGGCAGGTGACAAACCTCTACTGACAGACTGTAGCCGTAGCTGGGAGGGAGGGAGCTAGCAGAATTTAGGGGTTTAGTTACTCTTTAAGCTTAAAAACCAATACATGTAAAGATTTAATTTTCTCCTCTCATTCCAGTGCATCTGATCGACATATACAATGTGATTGAGGCGGTGCGGGACGCCGGTCTGAACGCTGTAGAGCTGAACGCCGGCATCTCTGTGACCCGACTGGAGAACTTGGTGTCCTCCCTGTTCAACCAGCTCAGCAAGCGTCTGCCCACCACACACACCGTCAACCCGAGAGAGAGCACCGCCCTGTTAGTCGAATTCTTACTGGCCGCCGTTGACAGGTAACTATAGAGAAATCTGTGGATGTTTAGGAAGAAAATTTGAGTTTTTGGATTCCCACCTTTTGCATTTTCTGTTGTTTAAATGTGAAACACGTGTGATCATTTCACATGTAGTTTTATGTAAAAGTGAGGATGACATATACTGCACTATAATATCATATGTTTTTGTTTGTGTGTTTGTTTCAGTGAGCCTGACAGCCATCTGACAGTGCTCTCTGTGAAGGCGATGTTGGCCATGCTGTGTGGAGGGAAACTGGTAGATAAACTCCGCTGTGAGTACCAGTTGATACCATCACGACTGACATGCAATCCGCTGCAGATCGGTGATCTTGCATTTCCCAGAAGATGGGCTTGAATTTACTGATTTAACCTGTAGGCTTTGGGTGTAAAAACAAACAAAAAATAGTGATAATGATAGAATAACAAGAGGATGCACATTAATCAACATTAATTATAATGTAAATATGCATAAGGTAGCATGATTTCACAGCCGTTCAATTTGTCATCATGTATTTTCTTCTACATACACTATGATCACAGCCTAGGACTTACTTACGCACATTTTTACTGCCATTTATGTCTAATACAGGGTGTCTGTAGGGTCTTAAAAAGTCTAATATTCAATAGATTTTAGGCCTTCAAATGTCTTAAATATGATTTTGATACATACATACTTTTTTTGCCAGTATGGACATGAAATAGATCTTAAACTGCATTCATAATGGTCTTAAAAAGTCTTAGATTTAACCTGTAAGGGTGCCTCAATCTTTCAGTCTGAATGTATGGCGCATGTATGGAGATATACACATGTCACATATTCGCCACCTTGTGGAAACTGTTGGTCAATGCTGCTGTTTGCTATTATGTTAATGTACGCGCTCTTGTATTAATTATGTTGTGCGGACAAGAATGTGTTCACAAAGTCAGATTATGGAGACTCACAAAAAAAAAGCTTCTCCCTACAAAGGTAACCATTAAAATTTAGGTTGAGATTTAGTTTTTGGTTAAAGTCAGAGTTTGGTTAAAGGTTGGGGTGAGGCATGTAGTGTGGATAAGGTTATGGTTGGGATTAATTAGTAAACTGGTGTAATTTAATACAAGCTCTTCTAATTGTGTGTTTTGTGTATGTGTGTAGATGTGTTTTCTCAGGTATCTGACTCAAGCGGCGTGTTGGTTCAATCCAAGTTCGATGGTTTTCTGAGGGAGGCTCTCAAGCTGCCCACCGCTGTACATGAAGGACCGTCCTTTGGCTACACACACACCTTAGCACGCTCATGCTTCCCACAACAGGTACGCTTACACACTTCATCTATCTGTCCTTTATTATATAGATTTATTTCATAGTTTATTGTACACTGGATTTTCTCTATTTTCTTGCTATTTGTAATAACGGTATTAAATTATTTCTTTCTCCGCAAAGGATTTAAGAACTGAATCTGATTCTAATGGTTCATTTTTGTGACTTTTTCTGTGTCCCTGAAGAGTTTTTTTCTTTTGTTATTGTTGTTGTTGTTGTAGAAGAGAGTGATGCTCAACATGTTCCTGGACATTGTAGCTGACTCTCCTCAGTGTCTTGTCTGGCTGCCTCTCATGCACCGCCTGGCCAACGTGGAACATGGTACACACACTCACACACGCACCACAGATATACACACAAACAACAACCGGCCAATTTTTATCGGCTGAAATTTACTTGCACTGAAGGAAAGTAAATTATCAGCAATGCATGTTTTCATAGGCTGCAGTTTTACATATATTGGGCCTTCAATATAATTGGTATTTTTCTATTTTTTAAGAGAATTTTAATTCCCAGTAAACTTTAATGTTCAGAATTAATTTTAAAAATATTTTACAGCAACATATGGTAACATATCGCAGCTGCTTCACACATTTTTATCACACTTCCGATAAAACTAATAAATAATAACACATTTTCAGATCTTCATTATTGTCAGCTATTTATCAATATTGGCCTCAAAAGTAAAGTTTCAGTCTGGCTCCAGTTACATCTGATCTGTTTCTGACCTTCTTCTGTATCAGCAGACCAGTTTGTGTCTCTTGATCAACCTGTAAAACTATCGTTCACAGATTCTGTCTCACGTCTCTCTTTCTCCCAGTCTATCACCCTGTGTCGTGCTCCTACTGTCGTGGCAACGGTATGACAGGCTTCCGCTATCGCTGCCTCCGTTGCCGAGGTTACCAGCTCTGCCAGAACTGCTTCTGGCGTGGTAACGCCAGTGGCTCTCATAGCAACCAGCATCAGATGAAGGAGCACTCATCCTGGGTGAGTCACTCTGTGATTACTCATTCATCACACCAGGGGGCACTCCGTGTGTGTGTGTGTGTGTGTGTGTGTGTTGTGTGTTGTGTGTGTGGGTGTCGTTGTGGTGTGGTGTGTGTGTGTGTGTGTGTGTGTGTGTGTGTTCTTGGACCTCAATATTTGTGAGGACCACTTACATTTTAGACACTTGTAGGGCACTTGAAAAGTAAGACATGACATGGCAATCTGGTTTAAAACAGGTTTTATTATAAAATCATTCACTGAATGCACAACAGATCATCACATTGTGTCCAAAACTTACCTTTGATAAATTGGAGTGGAAGTCAATGATTAAATGTAAGCTTCTATTGGCTAATTAAGATGTATTTATTGCCAAAATCTGAATTTAAGTGTCACAATCCTACGAAATGATATTCCAAAGAAGTTGCACAAGCCTGAACGACAAAGAATGTTTTCAATGAAGAAATTATGTATTAATAGATGGAAACATAGTTGTTGAATTATTCATCACCCAGCCATGGCATAAATTGTCTTATTAATGTTTCAGTTTCAGGGATAAATCTCTTCACTTGTGCAGCTCCTAGCTGTCCAATAGAATCTTCTCATCACAGGAAACTCATCCTAATAATCCTCAGAAGACCTTACATATTTAACCTTACACTTCCAACAGGATTCAGCTTTGGGCTTTATTTTATCCTCTATTTATCTGTTTCACTTCAGCAGTGTAGCACTAATTTTTACTGTTACGAAACACAGTTATATGTGGTATGCTGCATGTTAAAATATAAAATTAGAAACTGAAGCCATCACTGACGATAATGTCTGATCATTAATCTCGTGACTTTAAAGAGTTTTAACTTGATACATGTGTAGTCTTCCACACAAGATAAAATGTGCAATGAGGACTTTGTTTTAAGTTAGATATGAATATAATCACTCGCCAACTGATTGTTTATTAATTTGGATCCCTATTAGTTGTTACCAGCACAACAGCTATTAATAATACATAAGTATTCATGTAAATAAACAAATACAAATAAAAGGTGCTTCAAATAATATATATATTTTATGTATTTTCGTAGCGATTTATCACCCACATGTCCGCAAGGATTTCCTAGAGAGAAAATATTACACTAGCAGTACTGTAGCGGACATGAAAACGAAGAGCAGCTGGCAGGACTCAACAAGCGAGATCGTCTGATACCATCCAACTTAGATCCACAAAAAAGTACCACAAGGTTACAGATTTTATAGGGGGAAGATTAGCTATTTTATCCGTAAAGTTCAGTCGAGTGTGTATCATTTAGGAGGATCTATAGGCAGAAATTAAATGTAATATTCATAGGTATGTTTTCATTAGTGTATAAACGCTTGAAAATGAGAATTGTTGGGTTTTTGTTACATTAGAATGAGCTGTTTTTGATGCAGTGTGTCGCCTTCTGTGGCAGCTGCCGTGTTGAACCACCATATTTCTACAGTAGCCCATAACAGACAAACCAAACACTGACTGTAGATAGGGCTCTTTGCATTTGCAAAAAAACGTTGCATCTGAAACTACACCACAAGACGCCACTAAATCCTAAACCCTGGAGCTTTAACATTGACGTAGAAAATGTCAAAAAAGGTTGTATGAATGTTGACTCTACATTTGTGTGTCTGTATGTGTATAGAAGTCATCAGCGACGAAGCTTGGCCGAGCCCTGAGCAGGACTCTGGGCTGTGTGTCATCCAGAGAGCCCTCTCATCCAATTTACCCAGAGGAACCTGAGAGGACCCTCAACCTCGCCAACATAGTGTAAGACCTCACAACACTTTTGACACACAAGAGTTACTTAGGAATGGTCTGTTTAAAGCCAGCATGTTTAACATTTGAATAAGAAAGAAATAGCAAAATGTTGAATTTATAAGGATGCAGCTACAGCCAGTAAATTGTTGGGTACAATCGGGGCCTAATGTCAGATATGTAAGATGAATATAGTCAGATATTTAGAAGTCCACGAGTCTGAGTTTATGAGTTTTCTCAGCATGTGCTACATTTATGTTCCTAGCCATCACAGAAACATTTAGCTGAAGAAAACCTATTGTGCCTCTTTAGAAGATATGCTTGTTGTTCACTCTCAGTCAGTTTACCTAATGATAAAATTATAAAGCAGCTGACTCTAAAAGGGATTAAGGGGTTTTAGTGAAATTCAATGTGCAGTTATTTTGTAATTATCGCTCATGGCCACAGTGGTCGCAAAAGTTACATAGTCTTGCATTTAGTGGCCTTGAAAAGAGCACTGTTATTTCAACAATGTGGATGGAAACAGTGTCACATGATATTTATAAAGTCAAGGTTACAGAAGTAGGGCTTAGCAATCTTTATAACTTGTTTTTTATTACAATTTAATTGGAATCATCAACAAAATGTTGTAAAATTGTAACACAATGTGATGCCATTAATTGCTATTCCTCTGAAAAACTATGCACAATAGTACAGAATGATTGCCCATGGAAGTACACATAATGTTAATGCCACATAAAACACTACTTAGTGTCCAGTCAGGTAGTTGAAGGGAATGTTAACACTGAAAACAGTTACTTGCATCGCAGAACGAGAAACATTTACCACCAAGTAGCAGACTAAAATAACATTTTGGTCCGTTGTCACTGGTACAGTTACATGTACACACAAAGTTCAGATAACAGGAGACCTCTAAAGTCCCACCTCTATATCCAACCTCTGTGGTTGCTCCACCCCTTGTGGTGGATCCACACTGTTTGATTTTCCCAACCATGACAGACTGGGTCATTACAGACCTCCAAGCACTGGGCACATATTCAGGCCAGCACACAGAGACAGCACTTAGCACAGCTGTGAGTATGTTTATAATGATGCTGCATCAGGTTTATTCCTCTCAAACATGCCTTTTGCTGAATGTCTGTCCTTTTCCCTTTGGCTTGCATTCGCTCTCTTTCTCTCCCTCTGCTGATCTTTGCCCTGCCTGTGTTTGCTCAGACTAGTACGATTCACTGTTGCATGATTGCACTCAAAAGCATGTGAGAGTGTGTTAGTATGTGAGTGTGAGTGAAAGAATGTGTGTTTTCTGATAGGCAGGCCCTGTATTTTAATGTTGTTATCCGTACTCTTTTCCTCTATCCTTTTCACTGTTGATAATGTTGGTCTGAAACATTGTGCGTTTGTGTTTGTGCAGACCCTCTCGTCCTATTGGGAACACCAGTCAGACCATGTTGTCCTCATCAGCGGCCGAGTCCTCCAAGAGGTAAAGACTGAAATAAAGAGTAGAAATTCCAGCTATAGGTAGTTTCTAGAGTATTTGTAACCTTTGCTTTGTCTGTAGATGTTTAACAGATTATATATACCCTAATCAAACCTGTTGAAACCTTGTTGTTAAATAAGTCGGTGAAATTGATTTATGGAATATATGTTTTAAAATGATGCAAAAATGCCTGAATCATAAAATGTTCTCTATCAAATTTGATCCAGTTTCACCAAAATCAGTGATATAGTTGGTGGTGTGTGACTACTGCGTGCAAAAGTTACATAGTTCAATAAAATGTGTAGAGGAAGCAGAGTGGGAATAACAGAACACCCTATTACAAGTCAGTGTAGCATCAAAATTAATCTGCAACATTTTTCCAGCTACATTTACCAAACATTCCCGAGTTTTAGCTCTTAAATTGATGTGATAGTAAATTGAATATTTGGTCATTTTCCTGATAAAACAAGACATTTGAAGTTGGACTATAGAATAGTATGTTTTCTGTGCTGGCTGAGAGAGCATGCTGCAGCCAACATGTGCAGTTGGGTAACCAATTAAAGGAAAAACCTCAATAAATGAGTGGAGAAACAGAATGAATGTAGATCCTTCCACACAAGTGTCCTGCATGAGACAATTAAAGAATTAACATCCAATCATGCTCTGTGGCATATATAATAATGCTGAGTAGGCCCAGTTGATTCTGATTTTGTCAGAGGGATATTATAGTAGGGTTGCAGTGAATAAACCCATCATTACACAGATGAATGCACATTTGAGACTTCAGTGGTGCAAAAATCGTAGGCACTGGTCTACAGAGATGTGGAAAAAGTGTTGGTAAGATGAGTCATGCTTCACCATATTCACGCCAGGTGGGCAAGTGCATGTGTGGTGTACACCAAGAGAAAGATACAGGCCTGGATGCTTGACCTTGCCCACTACAGTGAGTGGCTCTCTTATGCTGTGGGGGGTATTTGCTGGATCCACTTGTCCCCTTAGAGGGAAGCGTCAATGCAAATCAATACGAAGTTGTTCTGAGTGATCACTTTTATCCTATGGTGAAACATTTCTATCCTGATGGTAGTGGTCTCATCAAGTTCCATCTCTTGTCTTTTATTTAAGGTGTTTTGAGCTCTCTCGGGTCACGGTACTTTTCACCTTATTTTGATATTATGTGGTCCAAACAATTTAGGATTAATCAAAAAAAACAGTTTGCACATGAATCGATGATGAAAATAATTATTGGTTGCAGCCCAAAACTGAACAGAGAATTAAACAGATGACATTTGAAAAGGAAAATAAAATACATCTTCAGCATAAATCTGTTGATCTACATTAGGTGTTTGTCTGGATGTCTACGATACCTTTTACCTCATCATATCATGTAATAATGATGGAAATAAGTCCAGGATTTTATTGTTCCATTACTGACAATGGTGATGATGTTTTACAAATACAGTACTTGTATTACCAGATCAATTACACATCATTTCCACTGTATGCAGACAGTGTAACAGCAATGCAATGTGCCTTTAAAAGCATAATAAATGAAATAATGTGATATATAATTAATGAGAATATGAATAACCCTAACCCTAACCCAACATATATCTGTTTATGTCCTGTCTGTTTTTCTGTCACACAGTTTGGCAACTGCTCAGCGAATGAACGAGGAACACGCTCTGATTGCTGCGTATGTGAATCGCCTCCAGAGCAGCCCATGGTGAGAGAGGTGACACAGCAGGGGGCGGTTACATAAGGGAATCAGGGAGGGTGTAAAGAGGAGAGCATGGTGCAGCAGTACAGTCACTACTTAACTTAGTCACAGTGTATCCAGATCTTGTAGTTTATCTCATGACAGTGAATCGCAAAGAGCACGTAAAAAACAAATCTATGTGTAAATCATGTGTATACATGATAAACTCAACTCTCCAAGCTGTTTGTTTGCAGGTTGTGCTGTTGACTGTTTCTCTGTTAGGCCAGTGATTTAAAAATGTACATGGTCAGTGTTATAAAAAACATCTCACCAAACCAAAGTTTGAATTTTACTGTTTTCTGAAGGAAATATTTGCCCCCGTAATCCGATTTTATGGTAATTTTGTTTCTTTTTGTTGGTAGTTGCACTGAAAAAGTAGATTTATATTGCATGTTTACAAATACACATTTTTACATTACTGCTGCAAACCGGCAGCTGACCTAACAGAACATCAATTTTCCCCTAGCAATACATATTTCACTTATTGGTTGCTTTACTCTTGTTACAGTAGTTTATGTGGGGTTAGCACGATCCTCTACGTATGGGTGCATAGTGGCAAGATTTTCTACAGGCACTAAAAACTCCTATTTGTCACTGTCAGCTGCCCACAGCCAGGGGACATTTGACACATTCATACTGTATGTGAATATTTAACAACTCAAGTATAACAGAGGAACAATAACAGGTTTAAAAAGCCCTGTAAATGATCATTAGTTCATGTTGCTCTCAGTAAGTTGCTGATTTCCCTGCTCTCTGTGTGTCACAGTAGTGTGGACAGTCCCAGCAGACAAGATGAAGAGCACAAACTGATCGCCCGCTACACCTCCAGACTGGCAGAGACTGAAGGCACAGGAGTGAGTCAATACCACCTTGTTTTTTTCACATACAGCAAACAGTAAACTGCTAATACATAAATACACAATCATCTTCTGTGTGACATGTAAACAGAGGTCTGACACATAATTGTGTGTGGTCGCTCTGCGATCTTAAAGCCACAGCTCTAAACTGAGATCTTCTTTTGGGTTGTTAAATGAGAAATGATGAACCCACAGTCAGCGTAAAACCAAACAAGCTCAAGTCATTTTGTGTGTCTTTCAGGTGATACCTAACCGGAGCATCAACTTTGATGTGAACAAACAGAAGAGGGAGCTCATTGCTCAGCTGGAGTGCAAAAACAGGTAGAAATGTGTAAATACTAAATAGTGGATGAGTTATTCATTTAAATTCATTTTCTTTTAGTTTGACTCATACTCTTGTAAGTCTGTATGTAGATGTGCAAAGAGAGGCACTACTGAAGTAGGATTACAGGTGTCTCTTCCTGGTTGTTACGCTGGTGTCCCTGCCCAGTTTTACAGATTTAGAGAACTTTTATCTTATTTTGAAAGATGTACTTATCAGTGTTTACAGAATTAAACCGTTTGACACAATATGAAAAGCTGTTATGTTCTCTGAAAAATAAATGTTGGTCAATAACTGTTGCCTTACTTATTACTATTTAGCACAGTTGACATGTTTTTTTTTCTTTTTACTGAAAGAAGGCTGTGTCCCTTCACAATAAAGGTCCATATACATATTTCTGTGCCAATCTACAATATGCGTATGTCTGAGTTTGTGTTTTTCCAGATTTAAAGCATATTCTCTAAATCCAACATGTACTTTCCTCCCAAAAAAATATAAGCATGTGTGATTGTTGTTCTCTTTTCGCAGTCTGTTCAGTCATGTTATGCTCCCCCAGCCTCAGCTGACAAGTGTGTTTTTCATTTCCCAGAGAGATCTTGGCAGAGATCAAGCGTCTTCGTGCAGAGCATGACGCAGCGTGCCATGCCAGCCCGGAGAAGGGCAGCACCAACCCAACTTTGCTGGCTGAGCTTCGTCTGCTCAGGTAAACAAAGACTCTGACCCGTAGACCGTACTGCCCAGCTGGGTCTCCTGCTACACATGTATACACGTATATAAATAACGATTAGGTTTTTACTACAACGTTGTGAATCGTACCTACCGAAAGTATGCCCAAATATAATTTTCAAAAGCAAAAACAAAAAGTTTGCCAGCCCTTAGCCCGCATGTGCCACAGTGTCAGAATTGGCGGGAAATCTGCCGTGTTGTTTTGCAGCACAGAGGGAGAGTGCTTTATGGCAGATGGCAATAACAGATGGTGGAATTTGTGAAAAGCCGATCTAAAAATCACTTGTTTATGTTTTTTCCGGTAAAACCAAAAACTCCAAGGAAGAGGGGGGAGACTTGATATAAAACAATTCTGCACATGAGGGAGCTGCAGTAATGATGATGATCACAGTACAGCTGTTTTTTTTGTTTTTTTTACACGCTACATAGCTTCCCCTGACTGTAGCGCTCTTCGCTGCAAAAACAATATTGTTTTAAAGAGTTACAGCAGTGGTTTCTGCTATGCTCCGGTATAGAGACATATGAAAAATTAACATCATACGGGAAGTTAAAACTGTCATCCTGTGTATTTCCCAGCACTATTTCAGTCATGCTGGTAGTGACAGTGTGCCTTGCTGGCCACTCGGGGGCGCTAAAGTCAAAGATTTTCATTTAAAGGCATAATGAGTAGGATTTTTCGGTTGCAATTAAAAGTTAGCCCCTCCACCACGACTCAGCGAGCGCAGGAGAGAGAACGAGAGCAGTGGTGGTCAAGCGAGCTAGAGAGTAAATGAAGAGAGGGAGCAGCGAAAACAAAGCAATGAATCTGAGAAATAAAACATTCTTTTCTGTTTTTTTTTCACTGCGGTTACGTTTTAAACCACAAATAAACATGGCCACACTTCACACTGCATTGTGTGAATGCAGCCGGAGCCAGCAGGAGGTTTTTATTGTGCGATGCCCAAATGTTGATGCCCAGAAAAGTCCAGAACGCAGCCAATAATAAGGAATAAAATAAAATACAGGAAGAGGGCAGGGTCTCTGCATATACCACACTACAACTGAGAAGTGACATTGAGAGGGATTATTTTTGTATTCTATACTTTGTTTAAGTTGTTCAAATCACACTATGTACTGTTCTAGTTCTTTGTAAATGGTTTTGACTAGAATAATCAAAATACACTAAGATGAATGCAGCGTTTTTACTGAAAGCTCTCTCATTATCTGATTTGGGACTAGATTATAACTGTGTAGTGAAAATTGAAACAACCTAATGACACACATTAGCTAATAGCCATAATTAAAGGTAAACACGCTCTAATTGATGGTAACTTGTTAAGTGCAACAAGTTATTACCCTGAAATGACCAACACTCCCCTCCTTCTACACACCTCAACAGCAGACACTATAACTATTCATCTGATATCATTATTAGTAATATTGCTTTCTGGAATCGTCCACTTCTCAGATATATGTATATCTCGGTCATTTCCTCTTTTTAGATCTTCTTTAAGGATTTCTTTCAGCACAGATTCGGGACAAGACATCATCATTGAAGAATACCTCTAGTAAAATATGTTGTTAAAGTGGTTAAAGCTTTCTGTCACTGTTGAAGCTTTACTTTTGGATCATAATGACTCAGATCTGGAATTGCTGTATGACTCAGTTGTACTTGTTTATTTGCTCATTCATCCTACCAAGTGAGGAAGCCAAGAGGGAAAGAAAAGAGCCATGTTCCCGCTTTAATGTCCAATCCAGACCACATACTGTTTGGAAAAAAATATTGTAAACACCCCTATATGTTTGTTACTCTGTTATGTTGGTAGTTACAGTACATGTCTAAATCTTGTCTTCTTTTTGCTGCCAAATCACTATAAATACCAAGAGTTTATCATTTGTGCTTCTCAAATACTTTTAAAGCCTTGGTGGTCTGCGTGATGAACACCCCTGCTGCTTCTGTCATCTGACAACCAGTATACATCAGTCGTGATTGTGTTTTCAAGGTTTAAAAGTTTTGTGGTGTGTCTAGGATGTTCATGACGCTCCAGTCAGCTCGCTCTTTCACATCTCATCTCCACCGAGTCTCTTTTTACAAACAACTCTGACCTTGACTTTTGATGTCCAACCATCCATGTTTCCATCTGATTTCTCTGTGATTTTCTCTGGCAATGCTCACGCCTGGGAGCAATGAGCCCTTGGGAAGTGTTTCAGGGAGGATCTTGAGCTCAAAAGCATATTTGAGTAACATCTTATTTGGCTAACCAGGGGACAATTAGGGCTGCACAATGTGGTAAAAACATCATATTGGGATTATATTGACTGATATTTCAATACACAATTAGTGATCATTAATAATTATTTCTGCATCACTGAAAGAAACTATTAATATCTTCATTATGAGATTTGTTTTGTAGTCTGTATCAAACAAACATTGTTTTCCTCAGCACTACAGTATTTCATCATGATGCTGTCTTGTCGCACATTTTAACTTTACATAGTGCTTCTGTGACTTGCCCGTTGCACTTATTGCGATTTTGATAATATTTGATTAATTATAAGATAAGATAAGATATTATTATTGATGCCACAGTGGGGAAATTCACTCGCATAACAGCAGCTCCAGATATCAACACAACGATAAGAAAATCAGATTAAACAAAAAAATGTCAAATCAGAAACAATACAGGAATCTTAATGAATACACAGCTTTTTTATGTAGAGATTGATTGAAATAGTCGCCCTATTTGATTACGTTGACTCCTCAATCCAGACAGACTTTAGTTTTTTTAGCTTCGCCCAAGGTAACTTTACATTTATGCCTTTCACAGGTAAAAAAACTATTTCCAGATTATTGATTTTGGCTAATGGAGATCAATGCTGCTGCTGTTGCTGCTTTTGTCGTATGTGGTTTAGTACAAATGAATGTGTATTAAATCAAATCTGGAGATGTATGACACAACAGAAGTGTAAATGGGGCCTCTACTGCAGCGATGCTGGTCTGGTGAGGCTTGGTACAGACTGTGGCAGCAATTATCCTTGAAAGGACAATAAAGAGTCGTATCTATCTTTTAGCTTTCTGTCCTGTTGTCTGTCTGTATACCTGTAACTTTTTTTTAACTGTGTCTTTTGCCTTCTGTGAGTCCTTGGGTTATTTTATTGCTTCCTCCTGACACTCTTACATGACAGTAATGGAGGGTTGGTGTGTGTTGCAGACAAAGGAAAGATGAGCTGGAGCAGAGGATGTCGTCTCTGCAAGAGAGCAGGAGGGAGCTAATGGTACAGCTAGAGGGACTGATGAAGCTGCTGAAGGTGACACACACACACACACAGACTGCCTATTGTTTTCAGCATGGTGTATTATCACACACTAGAGGGCAAAGTTTCCCTTTTTCTTCACACCTCCCTGTATCTGTCCTTGCAGTAACAAGCCTCACTTTTCCCTCTGCTATTTCCTCCTTCATAATTTCACCTTTTCTAGCTCTGACTGTATCTGACCTCTTATTTTCCATCCTTTTCTTCCCCATTTGTTTCCGACTGCCCATGTTGTGGCCCTGTAGGATGAGGAACAGCGACAGGCAGTAAGTTTATCCCCCTTACGTTGGACTCAGAGTGGTGTAAATGTGAAATTGACTTTAAATGTCAAAATAAGTCAACTTTACAAGCAATGAGGAAGCTGCTTCATTTTCCCAATTGGGACCGAAATAATGGCTTGGCTTTTTCCAGCAGTTACCAGAACATTTACTACATTGAGGAGATGATGTCAGCTGCAACAAAAATAACAAGTTAGATTTTTCTGAAAGTTATAAGTGCTGATGGTGACGTGTAACAACCCTTATAAATCCATCTCTCAGGCACAGGCAGCTGGTTCTTCTCACGCCTCTCCTTCTCGACCGAGCCCATCAACGGTCCGCTCTGTAGGTGCTGCGTCTCCCCAGGCTCACATGTACCCTCCTCAAGATTCACTGGCTGGGGTGGGTGGTGATGTACAAGAAGCATTCGCCCAAGGTAAGTGAGGTACTAAGTAGTTGAAAAAGTAGTATTTTCTTTTTTTGTCTTGCACACAAAGTAACATACAGATCTGATGGCTTTGGTTTAGTAATAGCTTTGAGAAAAAGTACAATAAGTGAGTGGCAGTGCCATCATTTGTCCCTTTTTCCTCTTTTTGAGACACACAGGAAAGATGTTTCTGTGTTTACATGTTGGACCACTACATTTCTGAACAGCACAACAATTCCCCTGTTAAGACTTTTGTATGGGACATCACATGAGTTGGAAAACGTTTCGGCTCTAACCCTTAAAAAATATTGATATTTTAATGATCACTTGTAAAAATGAGTTGCTGTGTGTGTGTTGTGTTTGTCACATGTATTTATTGAATCTCTGCTCAGCTACAGACACAATAGTTTCCAGTCAGTGTTTCAGATTAGTCTTAGTTCATGGTGCACTTTGAAAACCTTCAGCCTGTAATATAAACTACTTGACATAAACAAATAGTTCAAGAAGTAGCCCATTTGTTAAGGAAAATGCTGTGTCACAATGAAGTATTGTTAGATAAGAACACATTCACAACATTATCAGAAAATTGGTGTGAAACATTAGGTCAGATCCAGTCGAATTTGATTCATACAGCCCAGAATCACACATTTGCCTCAGAGGGCTTAAAATATGGTAAAATGTCTTTGCTCCAGCTGCTGTAAGCTTTACAGTATGTGTGTTTAATGAATTCTGCTCTGCTTTAGGTATAATCTTAAGAAAAAGGTGTCATGTATTTAAGGAGGCAAATCCATTTAAAAAGCTTTTTAAAAATTGAAATTCACATTATATCATATGCACATTAGGGGGTTTTATGATTTAGTTGTAATTGGTTCCACAGTGAGACAGTATGAAAGTGTCATTCAGATCTCATAAAATTAATGATTATGTATCACAATATTAACATTTTAGAGTCAGTAGTCTAATGTTTTTACTGTTAAACTGGGTGATCATTGGGGTTTTTTTTTGTCACATCTCTCCTTCTCAGGCCCAAGAAGAAACTTGAGGAATGACCTTCTGGTAGCAGCTGACTCCATCACCAACACTGTGTCCTCACTGGTCAAAGAGCTGCACTCTGGTAAGCGCACACACACACACACTTCCATAGTATCCTGCAGATGCTCTTTTGACGTCTTTGTACTGTAACTTCCAAAAATTAATTTTTTTACAAATAAAAACAAACATTACGTTAGTTATTCCTGTATATATGTGTATATATATTATAGTTTTCTACATGAAACCTAATAATAAATCCTTAGAAAGTAATGAAATGAATCCAACACATGTTCATATTTGCCTTTTTACCGTCTTTTTTTTCTTACTAGATGATGTTCGGGAGGAAGAGGAGAGATTGCTGAACGGGAAGGGCAGAGGTAAATTAATCTCCTTAGTAACCACTAAATTATCATCCTCTCTTTATAAAAATATATAATGTATAAAACACTAACATGATCATTATATAATATATCATAATAATTCTAGAGATTTATTTCAGTATTTCTGAATTATTGTAACACTATAGAGTCTAAAGAGGTAGGTTCTAGTAATCAGTGGCTTAAATCATGCAAAACTAACAATACACATGACTTGACTCCATGCTTCCTTTTAAAGGGTTTCTCTGACATTTTAAAAGAACTGGTGAGCTTTTCATAACTGAAATCAACTTCTAATCTATTTTGCATGTCCATGTGCACCCATTATTCATGGAAATTATATTTGATAATGAAAGCACCAAAATTCGATCTCATGACATTAAAAAGTTCTTCTGTCCACACATCAGCTGAGTTGATCTTGTCGTTCAGCTCTTTAGGACATGAATGAACGTCAGGCCTTCTGATTTTTATTATTTTAAAGCCAGCACTGTGAACAGGCCGGAGTAAAACTATTAAAAGATAGAGGTGGAAGAAGTATTTAGATCCTTTACTAAAGTAAAAGTACCAAAATTACAACTAGCTCTCCTAGCCCCATATACCGGAGTCCTTGCTTCAGCAGCCACTGGTTCAACTCCAACCTGTGACTTTCGCTATCCATTAAAAGTAATAAATAAATAACTCCAACCTGAGCAGGTCTAATCAGCCTCATAACTGAAAACACTTGTGTGGGTCTGTGTCAGTGGTAATGCATCATATTTTATAAGCTGATTGTATGTTTTATTTGTAAAATGACTTACTTAATTACTACTAACTATAGTTGTCAGATAAAGGCACTGTAGTATAATGTACAAACAAAAGTCAAGTTATTTGCTAAGACTTTGAATCCACTTGCACTTTAGCGCTCTTCCTGCATTTCTTTCCGCGTGCACAGTCTATACGACTCCACTTATTCTCCAGGTGCTCTCGTCTGTACTGCAGCAAGCTTCATTAACATGCCATCTCATTAGCCATGCTTTATGGAGCCCCTCCTCTTTACAAGAGGACCGCTTGCAGAGAAACTGCTTCCCGGTCTGCTCCCCGGGCTCAGACTAAACCCTTATTAGAATACTAACCCAGCTACCCCCGACCAGACAGACAGACAGGAGGCCAGGGTTCAGCCCCCGGTTTAACACAGTTAAGTCTTAAAGTTTAAAGATAAAATACTGTGTTACACTGTCCACAATGGAGCTTTTTTCCTGTCAATTTGTGTAGCACCTGCCAAGTATAGTCATGTTTTATGTTTCTATGCTAAGGACTGGTCTGGTTCTTATTACGGTTTCTGGCAGAAACCTGTCGCACTTGATTTAGCTTCAGACTTTACTGTCCTCTGCTAACTGCTAACAAACCTTGGTTCTTTTTTCAGCAGGTTAAAATGACTGCAGGACAAACAAAAACAGTAAGTCAATACCCTTTTTTAATCACATGATAATAAAAACTAGAACAAAGACATTACTATATTTAGTTTGTTTCAGTTTTAGCACACTGTACAATTAAAGGATGCTACAATGGTGAAACTATTGCTTACCTTTTGTATTATTTAATTATAAATCAGTAAGCAAATGTATTTGTTGGAAACACTTCTTTTGTTTCTTTTGAACAAAAAAGGCTGCACTCATGTTTTAATAAAATTTGAATGATTTGATGACTCTCTGTTTATGTTTATGTGTTATGTGTTTGAAATTGTTTGCACAGTCCTGCAAACAGTCTGTTTTTGGTTCCTACTGAGCAGCTTTTGAAACACAAACTAAGGGACAGAAAAAACTAAGAAGTAGTTAGTTCCTGAAATTGAAATTCAAAATTAGAATCACAAAATTACCACATGGAAACTTCTTATTTTGTCTTTTTTATTTAAACTGAAAGCATATGTTTCTTTATTAGAAGGTATAATTATTTTTGTAATCAGAATCACAACAAACTTAATTTCAAAGTAGTATTTAATCAACTTTGAAATGATGTGATGGTGTTTACCTGTTGAAAACTGAAATAGATTTTTGGAAATATGCTTATTTGCTTTTCCTCCCAGGAGTTAGAGGAGATGATTGCTATCATTTTTACATCTGTAAGGTAAATATGAAGCCACTGCCAGCAGCCAGTTAGCTTATCTTAGTATAAAATCTGGAAAGTGGGAGAAACGACTCACCTGGCACTGTCCAAATAAAAAAATATTTAAAATATGTATATTATATAACACGTAATATCTAATTTGGTTAATTTGTGCAAAAAGCCAAGCACGTGTTTTTCAGGAGGTTATGAGACGGACTATTTATTTTCTGGGGCAATAACTCCATATATTGTTGTTTTCATTAGGTTTAGAAATAAGCAAATAAGATATAATGTGTTCATAAATTAGATTTAGATGTGCTGATAGGCAGAGACAGGCTAGCACTTTCCTTCTGTTTCCAGTCTTACGATATGAGAAGATAAGCTTACTGGCTGCAGCTTCATATTTAGCCTACAGACACAGGAGCAGATCAACCTTCTCATCGAACTCTCGACAAAGAAAGTCGAAGTATTCCTTTAACGCCATGTGACAGAATATGAAAGAAAATGAACTGTTGTCTGACTGTTTGGTCACTCTCTCCTCAGGCAGAGTGATGTTTCATCACGGCCAAAGAAGACTGACCTTGATGGGATTAAAATATATCTTCTCATATTCATCGTTAGCCAACGGGGATTAGAGCTCCACTGCCAATCAACCAACAATCACGATGCTGGACACCAAATGACCGCTGGGTCCCTACTGATGTATAGCTGTGATTCTGTGTGTGTGTCTTGTCACTGTGGTTTTACTTTTGTTTTGATTTGATCATGCATAGCTTAACGAGGAATCCGAAACCTACTGATTTGTACTGTAGCGCGTGTGCGTGTGTGTGTGCTCTGCATTTTCAAGGGTTCGAGAGGGTCGAGTAAGTGAGAGGGACGCCGTGAAGAGACAGAAAGATGCATTTAGGATATTTGTGAAGGATAAAAGTGCAGGAGAGTTTCAGGATGGAGATACGGGATGTAACCACATCGGAGAGAGAGAGAAAGAGGAGGAAAAACAAAGGAAAGTTAAAAAGACGAGAAGCGAGTTGTAACGTTTAAAGTTTCGGCACTGTGTGCTTACTATTTATTGCTTTGATTTGATTTGATTTTTTCCATTTATTCATGCAGTTTGAGTGAGTTTGAGTTTGGTGTATGTGAGTGTGGTCAGGCCCTGCTGAGACGATAAGCTTTAATGGGACATTTCCTGCTGTAACAGGCCCGGCCCGGCCCTCCCCTTTCGGCTGTAGCGATGCGGGGTGGAAGCCCCAGTCCTGGTCCTGGTGTCTGAAACTTGGATGAGATTAGTGCCATGGGTGCTGGTGTGATAGCAGCTCAGGTTGTCCAGGCCTCTCTGTGTATCTCGGTACTGCAGTGGGACTCCAGTCAAAGAGGAGATATCTGATTACTGTGTGTGTGTGTGTGTGTGTGTGTGTGTTTGAGGGGGAGAATATAAAACCATTTGCTTTCAACAGGGTCAGTGAAGCAACAGAGTAGCAAAGTGGGTGGAGAAGTGGGCTCTGGAGGTATTTATCTGTCTTTTAAAGGGTCAGTTTACCCAAATTACAAAGTGTTTCTCACTTAACTCTGTAGTGAAGTGTTTCCCAACCTGAGTGTCTCAAGATAAATCTGAGTGTCCCAAGATAAATCTGAGGGTCACAAGATGATCGAAGGAACGAGGAAGAAAAAATACACAAAATTATGTTCATTTTCACTCAATTCTCCCTACTTTTTTTGAATTGCTGACAACACATGTTCACATTAATTTTTTGTGTGATCAGTTATTTATTGCATTTTGATATAACAACATACATATCAAGAAATCATGTTTATTTTTCAACAACAGAAGAAAGAAAAAGGGCAGCAATAATTAGTCAGAATGCTTAAGATGCAATCCAAGACACAACTTCAGTTTCAGTAAATGTGCTTGAAGTGCTTCATTTTAAAAAGTCCTGACTCAGACAGTTTGATAATCACTGCTCCAGGGGTACCAAGCCGTGCAGATGGTTTCGGCTTGTCCATGTTTGAGATATCTGTCTCTTTAAGGTATTTTCCCTCCACACATACACAGTTTTTACTGGAGCTTCCTTATATTGCAGAAATACTGTAGTCTCCAGCTCTTGTTTTTTCACTTTGTTCAACTTTTGTCTCCTGAATAATTGAACCACATTATGTTAGGATGTTTATTTCTGCCAGTATTGTCTAAATACTACAATACCCACGAGCCTCTGCAGCTATTACTATGGATCAAAAGTCAGCCAGAGCTGCAAAGCTGAGCTGTAGAAAATATTCAAGAACAAAACAGTCGTTAAAAATTGACGCAGAATTGAACAGAATTTTAACCTCTGTGATTCTTACTGCAGTGCTTCTTGGGAGTTGTAGTTGACTGTTCTCCTTTAAGTTTTTACATACACAGTCTCATAACCGAGGATTTAGCCAGTTTCATGCTAACCCCAAGACTTTAAGGTGCTCCAGCTGCCAGGTACTAATCACACTTTGCTACTCAATGATGCCTTTTAAGCTTTCTGTAAAATGCAGTGCATTGTGGGTGATGATGTTCTCTGTGGGTGTGGAACTACACAAGGCACCCCAAAAACCTTCAGAGTGATACCTGTATGCAAATCGAACATGACCCAAAGTGACTTACTGAGCTTGTGTCAGGTCAGATTGATTTATTTTCATATTTTAATTTCAGTAGATAATATTATCAAAAATATGTTTTTCAACACCTTTTTTTTTTCGGTTTGTGCTCCGAAGACGCTGTTAACTGTATTGTATATTTTTGGATCAGTTTGTTTTGTCTATGAGACATCACCAGCCCTCCATGTTGTTTGACTGACCGCTTGTGACTGAGATCATCTCATTTTCAGTCTGCTGCGCCATTAACTGACCGTATGAGTGTTGGAATAAATGAATGTGTGTCAGTGCGTATGTGTGAAAGGGACAGTGAGAGAAATCACTGACAGGACTGACATGTCCTGACATGAAACTGTAAACACCTTCAGCTCTGAGCCTGCTGGAGCTGACGGCGTGAGTGAAACGTGTTCATCTGTGTTTCATCTGAAATAAATAATATTTAACGTCTGAGCTTCGTCTGTCTCTGTGACTGTTGGTCTTAATCTGGGCAGCAACATAAAAACATGGATGTGATGCATAATTCAATAACTTCTCCATGACTTTCCTCTACCATGTCATAGCTCTTCCATTACTTCAACAGTTCAGTCCCTCCTGGTTTGGTTATGTTCATGTTCCTTAAAAGTCTGCTTTGCGCTACAGTTTGGCCAAACAAAAGTTAATGTAACAAATCTGTCAGAAAGTTGGAAACTAAACTCTGCTGTATTCCTGGAAAGTGACCCATTTATAAAATTCCTTGACTGCTCTCATCTGGAATACAGCTTTTCCCAAATCTCATTATATAGAATAAGAGCACGACTTCGAACACAGTGTTCGATTTAAACGTGATGAAGTTTTGAAACGGAGCCTCTGCCTCACTAAACTGTTTTTAGTCTACAAAATTAAACCATTTTAGGAATGTTGAGACACAAAAATGTCCAGTGGTGGAAAAAGTATTCAGATTCTTTACTTAAGCAGGGAGGATCTAGAGAAATATTCCTGGGGTGGGAAGAGGGTGGCATGGAGACTGGCAGAAAAATCACATATATCCATATTTGCTCGGAAAATCCCCCAAATGAAGATATTTTAACTCAAAGACATTATATTATTATTATTAAAGCATGGACTAGAAATATTTATTCATATCATTTACATTATTGTTGACATTTATCCACTGAACTTGTGGCCATAACAGATCATTAAATTAATTAATGTTTTAACAATTAATTCTTTAATCAATTAATGTGTTTAATTTGACAGCCAAACTCCCTCTAGATCTTCCCCAGTAGCAATGCTACAGTGCTTGTGTGTGTAACACTGATACAGTATATATTATTTATGCAAAAGGATTGTGTAAATAAAATTTTAGTGACAAGAAACTAAATTTACATGAATCTAATACCTATAGTTTATATAAATGTAGTGGAGTAGAAGTATAAAGTGGCATTAAAAGTACCATTCGTACTTAAGTACTTGAGTAAATGCACTTTCACACTGTCATAAGAAATAACACATTCTTACTCTTAATTTAAAAATTTAACTCATAAGCAATAAAAACTTAATTCAGCCGTAAACATTTAGTGACTTTGCTGCTACACTCACCAAATGTATAGAAAGTGTGAAAGACGTCCTCATACAAAATTGCCCCATTCAGAGTGTTAAATAATATACGTATAGCACAAGAATAATTAAATTACGTTTGTTGGAGTTAATCTCAACAACTTTAGATGTTTTAGTCTACAGTGAATCACATTTCAACAACTGATCGTGTGTTTTACATGTAGAACTGTAGCTGTGAAATCAAAGTAGTGAGTGAGAGAAACCTACAATATTTGCCCCCCCGGTGCAGAAGTAACTTAGTAAGTAATAACAGCAGAAAGTGGAAATACTTAGAGAAATATTAACATAGTTACATTATACCACTGTACAACAACATTCAACCATTCGACCAGTGATATCAGTGTGACCGTAGCAGCTCCCCGCAGACTCATCACAGTAATCTGAGCACAGACACTTATTTTTTTACATCTTCCTATGAGCCGGTGTTTTTTGGTCATAACCCAGTTTCTATAAATAAACACCCCCAACATGGACTTCAGATATACACCCAGTTTTTCTCCTGCATGTTTTTAACTTTTCTCCCTGATTTAGTGTCCTCATTAGTATGGATGAGCAGTTCTCACTTTTCCCATGAGCTTCCCTCAGAGGTCATGACTCTGTGTGTGTGTGTGTGTGTTGTATATCTGAGTTTGTGAGAGTGTGTATGCGAGGTGGGGGTGTAAACTATAGACTGAATAAAGCTCATGAGGTCGTCTGTTGTTAGTGACCTCACTGACTGCTATAAATAACCCCCTCCCCAACCCAACACCTCCTATACTTATACTCACAACACCCAGTGCAGTTATGACCCTGTTTAGTGTGGATCTAAACACTTTCTTCTCCTCGGAGGTCAATCTGAGTTTAACCTCCTCTTCTGGAGCACCAACTGGAGAAAATCTACTAGTTATAATGAATAAATATAATAATAATAAGATCATTTAAAGTCCATTTGAGGCTTGAAGTAATGCTTAAGCCTGAATCAATTTATAGATGAGTCATATTAAGAAAAAAAATCTAAATATTTGCTGGTTCAAGCTTATTTTCTTCCTTTCTCTGTTTGATGTTGGATATTTTTTAATTTTGGAGTGTTGGTCAGACAAAACAAGAAAGTTTTGAGTTGTGTTGAATTAGTACTGAAAAAGTAATGAGATATAAGAACAAGTTTGAGTAGATAAATAGATCCTTTATTGTCCTATCCAGGAAATGGGTTGCCACAATCTGTACACAGTCTCATACATACACAAACACAACATTAACACAACATAGACATCCAAAAACAGCACAATTGTTCTTCCCAATCATTTTAAGCTAAATCCAAACAAAGTTTAAAGTTAAAACATTGCTACAAAACAAAAAGCAATCAATGAGAATTAGACCAATTAAATAGGATAATTTCCATCAAAAGAAAGCCGTTATTATATCAGAATTAATGATCGTCTGCTTTAGATTTTTATACAGAGTGTTCTGCATAGACTAAATAATAATACCGGTTTAATATGCCATTAATGGAAAGTTAAACTATTTCTGCAGGCTGCTTTCCAACATGGCCACCGGTGACATAGCATACAGTTACATTAGAACAACCAAACCTTAAATTTAAAAGGTATTCGCTCTCTTTACTCTCTTTGTACTGCGATGGAGGAGGGTTAAAGCTCTCCTGTGTAACTGTGCACACACAGCTGGAATCACAGCTCCTTACGGTTAATGCAGCAAAATGCAGAGTAGATAAAAGAACAGTTGTAACAAAGGTATGAATGGAAAAAGAGTAGATTACTGGGACAAAAAATATTTCAATAAAGAGTACAGTATCAAAAAGGAACATGAAAGCTAGCTATTTAACTAATTTGTGTTACTTTTAATAAGTTACTACCCACCTACCCACCCTATTTTCCACTGTTTTATGACATTTTATGGACAAAACATTTAAAAGGTTGATTAAATGAACATATTTATTGTTAGTTGTAGCTCTACCAATAATGACTTCACTATTTTCATCCATCTTTAGGTCTCCAGATGTTGGTAAACAAAGACCACTAGGAGTTACTTTGTAAATTGCTCTTTAAAAATGTATCTGCCTTATTCGCTCTTACTACATTTTCTGCTTTTCCAAGCTTTCCAACAGTACTGCGTCCACAGCAGTTAGACAGCAGGTTTCAACTTGTCGCAGCAAACTTCACCTGTCGAGGGGCTGGAGGAGAAACAGGAGTTTAGATCAGAAGAAACAAACCCGCCAAACAAGAAAATGGGTAAATGAGTTCACAGTTCAGTTGTGTTGTAGGTGGAGACAGGTGGCCTAGAGAAAACACTATCAACAATAGCTGTTTGTAAAACTCTAACTGAAGGAAACTTAACTTTTACAGAGGTTTTCCCAACCGGGTGGATCAGGATGAAGAAGATAGGAAGGAAGAAGTGTCTTTGCTACACAAACTCTCTCACTTATTTCTTATTTTTCTCAAATTTAGCTTCCTGTATTATGAAGTTTCAAGGCCTCTAAAAACTGTTGAAACTCAGACATTTGCAGCCTGCGACGAGGAGAGCAGATATTGATAGATTCTTAGGCAGTAACATCCGTTACTTGTGCAACAAGTAAAACTGACTTTAAAGTTTGGTTCATGTCCAACAGTAACTGAAGTGCTGCTAGCGTCTGAAGCCTAGACTTGACCCGGACCTGTAAAACAAAAATATGACAGTTTGCCTTCAGGGCTGTAACACGCTGACATTAATCAAACATACTGTATATTGTTACAGGAAGCTCGTGTTACCCCCTTTTTTAATGATTCTGAGAGTAATCTGGGTCACAAATGAGCAGCTGGGCCTCTACAAAGCCCCCTGTGTACAGTACACCTGGGTTACCACAAGGCCCCAGGTGTACTGTATGGTGAGTCAGACCAGTGTCCATAAGGATTAACCTTTATTTTATAAACAATAATGCAGTCTGCAAGGAACAGATGCTGTAAAAAGCAAGAAGTTTTAACATTAAAACACATTTTTATTGAACATACTTGTGGGTATTGTGTAATCCTCTAATACCAATCTAATCTAATATCTGTCTACTGTAATAATAATAATAATAATAAGTAGTAGTAACGCTCCTCTAACAGCAACAACCTGCTAAATCAACCTGAAATATTCGTATTAATTTGTTTAATTTTAGGAATATATCAGTGTAACAACACAATAACAGCTGAAATTTCTTAAAAGTAGATTTCTATCTTTGATCCCTCTGCGTGTATCTCTGCACATTCATGAAGAACCTTCACGTCCGGATTAATCCTGTATTTGTATTATTCCCCCCGAGGCATTCTGTCACCAATTAGTTGGTGCCAGCTTAATTACCTGTAAGCACAAAATGCATTTCAGAATAAGATAAACAGAAAGAATAAAGGCTTTTAAACTTGTATTTCTGGTCTCTTCTACAAGGTAAAAATGCTTCAGTATATGTTGTATAGTACATTATGTATCACATACATAGAACCTGGTTGCCTCGGGCCCCCTGAGGTCCTGAGTGGAGTCTACAGGTAGATTTAATGACATTAAGACATGAAATACTCACACACTCTCTCCCCGTCAGGCTCCGGAGGCAGTCCAAATGATTTTCTCTGGCCGTCTGTGTGAGCTCATCTTGCTGTGAGACCGGTGTTTTGGCTGGCGGACAGATCAGATCAGACTCAGGTTTGTTTCCGCAGTAAAGACGTCAGGAGACGCTTTGACTCGCTGTATTTATTCCCTCCGTGGCAGTAAAACACATCAGAAA